GCCTCCTTGGGGGCGGGGGTCAGTCTCAGGACTACAGAGCAGTCAGCGGCCACTGCAGCCTGAGTCCATCCCCGGCCAGGGAGTGATCAGGCGGCCCCCCCCGCCCCCCCGCTTGCCAGTCAGGGAAGCAGCCACCGAGTGGCGGCCCCGGTGGGCTGCTTGGTCCGGTGCCCTGGGCCCGTGGGCACCCCAGCCCCGCTGCGCCTCCTCCCCAGGCACCTCCCTCCTGGGCAGCACCGCGGGGGAGACATCTTGTTTCCCAGGTTGCACCTGGCAGCTGGCAGGTGTGGATGGGCCTAGCAGACGGGCCAGAGGACCCAGTGACGGGACACCCTGGGGCTGTGGTCGGCTACTTCTGGGGTGGCAGGCCCTGGTGGCTCCCCTGCCCCCACCCCGCACCCCACAAGCCCCAGGCCACTAGGAGCCTCAGAGGGAGAGACTTCTAGCCCCGCACCCCCCTCTCTGGAGTCAGGGGAGACCCTCTGCCCGTCTGAGGAGCCAGGGTCCTGGGCCCTCCCCCCAGCCACCCTAACTCACCCGCCTTGTCTCTCTCTCTTGCAGCCAACAGTTCCCTGCTCGGAGGCGGAGGTGGTGAGTGGACCCTTCCTGGGGCCTGGGGGTGCGGAGGCGGGTGGGGTCCTGTGTTGCCTCTCTCCTCCCGTGGCCTGGCCCACAGGGCCAGGCTTTCACAGCTGTCACCTCTCCCCAAACCTCCCGCCACCCCCCCTTCTTCATCTCTTCCCCCTTTACTGCCTCCCCTGCCCTTGGTCTTGCAGGACCTGCCACACCTTGGACAGGGCCAGAGACGGGCAGGCAGGCCCTGCCTCCAGCCTCCGGGCGACCCTGGCAGGCCGTCCGTGAGCAGTGGCCTCCTGGTCTGTCGTGGGGTGTGTGGGGAGAGGGGGGCACCTGAGGTGAAAGGGACCAGGCCTGCTCCTGATGCCCAGTTGCCCTCAGAAGGTCCTGCGCCCTCTGGCCTCATTTTCCCCACCTCTGAGAGCAAAACACAGGCCTGTGCCCTCTCCTGACACCAGCAGGGAGCTTGGCCACCTGGACAGAGGTCTCATGTGGTCAGAGTGGGATCTGCTGACTGTCAACCTCCTGATGCTTTGGTTAAGGGCTACCAGGAGGGCCCCCCAGGGCCAGGTGGGCAGGAGGTCAGAGGTCAGGTGGGCTCTGCTGCCAGGCTAAGGCCGAGGACGGGGCACGGCCCCTCTGCCCTGCCCTCCCGTGCCGCCTTCCCTGGCCAGTCCTGCTAGGCGGAGCCGCCCCCACCCCCGCCATGCTGGCAGGGTCCCGCTGTCTGCAAAGGCAGCAGGATGATTGGTGAGCCGGGGGCCAGGGGTTAATGCGCCGCTGGATAAATCCCGGGGCGTGTTTACGGCAGCAGTGGCGGAGCCCAGGCCAGGTTTTAAAAGGGGGAAAAATAAAAGGGGCAGAGAAGGTCAGGAATAAATAAGAGCAGCACTAAGAGCTGTCGCTACAGCCAGGATGCGGGGAGGGTCTGTTTGTGGCCAGCGACAGCCCTCCCTCCCCGTCTCCTCCAGCCCTCCCTGTGGAGGTCAGATGCCCCCCCAGAACTGGGGGCCCGCTGGGGGCGGGGCCCAGGCCCTCTGCCGAAGCCTGTCCCGTTGGGGTCCTCCTTGAGCCGACACTGGCCGTGCTCTGCCCACAGCCACCCTCCTGCGTCCCCTCGTTGCTGGCCCCGTGATTGAGTGCCTGCTGCATGCCCGGCCTGAGCCGGGGCCAGGACAGGCCCACCAGCACCCGAGGGCCCTGGCCCTGCCCTCCGGGAGCTCACAGCGCAGGGGAGAGTGGGGGACAGCGGGCGAAACTGGGTGCTCCGGCGTCTCGGGGCTCGTGGGGAGCACCTGCCAGGCCTGGGCACTGGGGCCTCTGGGAGGAGCGGGGCCTCCCGGGCCTGAGAAGTGGCTAGGAGACAGCTAGAGGAGAGCAGCGGGAAGGGTGTCCCGGCAGAGGGAACGGCACCGACGAAGGCCTGGCGTGGGGAGAGCGCAAGGCCCTGGGCAGCTGCCCCTGGAAAGGGCAAGGTGGCAGGCCAGAGCCTGAGCTCCGATAAGAGAGGGGCCCAGCTGCTAGGGCCCAGACCCTAAGTGGCCAGTACCCCACTTGTGTGGAAGCCTGGCCAGAGCTGCAGCCTCAGTCAGAGGCCAGGCCGAGTCCTTACTGTGTCCTCACTGGGCCTCAGCCCCTCTCCGCTCTGTTCCCGCCACCAGGCTCCTCGCTGCAGCCACTGGCCGGCCGCTCGGGCCTCCGGGCCTCCGCACAGGCTGTGCTGCCCAGGCGCTCTCCTTCCTGAGGGCTGGTCGGAGCCACATTCTCAGGGTGACCCCCCAGATTTCTGCTGACTGTGGAGCTGCCTGCCAACCCCCCCCCCCGTTGCTTCCATCTTAGT